ATTTGCATCAGCATCATGAGCACTCAGATGCTTTTCCTCCTCGCTAACCAAGAGGACCACTTCCATCCTATGCTATGGCGCCAGGTTAAGAATGAAGATGCTGCCGAGTCTGACAATGATGGTAACCCGCCGCCAAAGTCTCACCAACATGCACACCCTAGCGGGCCGACACCAAAGCGGGATCAGTATGATCCGTTTCCACCATCCTCGCACCCTCGCCATAAGCATCAGTCTTCGCAAGCCTACTATAACCAGATGACATCTACTCCGGGCGGTCAGCCAGGAACGCCCATGACATTTCGTGCCGACAAGGACCCCCGCAGCAAAGGCTCCCCTGCTACCTTCTCCCGGTCTGTCGTTCTGGACACAGGAGACGACATTGACTACAGTCTAGACTCAACCAAAGATATCAAGCCACCTCATAGTTATGCCCAGCTCATCGGCCAAGCAATTTTGAGCAGCGAGGAAGAGATGCTTACTCTTGCCAACATTTACGACTACATCAAAGCGCGCTATGCATTCTTTCGACACACCAACAGTGGCTGGCAAAACAGCATTCGCCACAACTTGTCTCTGAACAAGTCGTTTGCAAAGGTCGCACGTCGCACGGATGAGCCGGGAAAAGGTATGAAGTGGAAGATTGCCGACAGCGAAAAGGAGGAATTTATAAAGAAGCAGCTTCTCAATCCTCGCAAGGGTGGCGGTATGAGTATAGGATACCGAATTGACGGCTCAGGGCCTAGTTCGCCTGCGCTCGGAAATCCAACCCAGGCCACCGAGCGTCTTGTGGGTGCTTTGGAGCGCGACAATCGCTCTCAACAATACGCTCCTCGCATCAAGTCACCCCCACGCTCTGCAACGCCTCCGCTTTCTTCTGTCCCTGTCGCAAACGAGTCATATACTCCGGACCGTGGCCCACGTCCATATGGAGGATTCAAGCAGTCCCCAAACACCCGTGATCAGGATCACCGTTTTGTCACGCCTGCGAAGCGACTTATGTATGGGAGCAATGAGGGACAAGGCACTTATATCAAGCAGGACGAATCTCAACGACATCTCGAGTCTTCGCCTGGTGTCGACCCTGTCAAGCAAAGCGTTCCGGGTATGAAGACCGATGTAGGAAATTCTCCGCCAACTCTGTACTCTGATGCCGCCTCCAATAGTATGGGCGGTAGCTATGATACAGGCCGGGTAAACAATGCGCTTGTCACGCCCTTGGTTACGAGACATGCGCCTCGCCTTGCGCCTCCCAGTACTGCCCAAATGCCTAGCCAGTACATGGCCTTTTCCAGCCCTGCTCCCTTTTGGAAATTTGTCGATCTCCCTAGCACGCCTGCCAAAGGACCTCTTGAGCTCAGTCCAATCAAACTCCAGCGTCCGGATTTCAAGGATGGTGACGATGAAGACGACAATCACCCCAGCTCGCCGCCTGTGCTACCAGGCAGGAGTGCCGAGCCTGAAGACGACCAAGACCAGGATGGTGAATTGAAGGGTGAGGACGATGAGGATGCTGGTCCAGAGAGCCCAAGTCGCACAGTTTCTCGACCTGTCAGCCGGCGCGAGATTGGAAGTCAGCGGTCACGGTCAAATAGTAATGTCAATGGATTAGGACTGGGAATTGTAGGCAACGGCGGAATGGTACGAGGAGCAAGTCTGGGGAGTTTTGAGGAAGAAGCAGAACCCGAGGAAGAGAGCTACGATCTTTCCAAGTACGTACTTGTCCCACACCTCTGCCTTACCGCTTTTGTGGTATAACCCTCCTAGTTATCAATGAAAGAACCAATCAACTGACCAAATTGCAACCAAATAGGGGTTTCCAAAAGATCGGCTCATTCCATCGTAGCATGGCTCAAGCTCATGGCCTGGGTAGTCTTGGCGGTCGATCAACTGCTACACCGCCGCCTCCGCCCCCGCATATTTCGCGCACAAGCGTCCCCGCGAACATGTAAGGAACAGGAGAAGTGGGAGCACAGGAGAGAGACAGGCACAGACGGCCTGAATGAGAATGATTACATGCAAATATGAGCACGAACGATATATCGATATCGGAACTTTTTTGTCATGGGAAATGAAAAGGGCGTTTGGTCGGGGTTTGGAGGGTTGGTGCATCGTTTTTTAATTCTTTTCAAATCCGGGTATTTGCATGTTGTTTGATTGGCTTCGGGTCCCCCTTTTCCCTTTCCTTTCCGTCGTTCTTTTTTTTCCTTCTCTCTGATTCCACCTGTATAAAGTTCTCTTCTTTTGCAGGGCATGGGTCAGGTCAGGTCAGGAATCCCATGTTGTATGACTAGCATCATCGTTTTCCACTCGGTGTATTGTTTTTCTTTTTTTTTGTACCCCCAGGGAAAGGGTACAAAGAGGGGGGCTGGCTAGACTACTCCGCTATGGCGTTATTCATTGTCGTTGTGCATACGAAGAGAGTGTTGTGGGGTTCATCAAAAAATGGGGGGTAGGACGACGTTGAGTAGAAGAAACATTCGTCGTTGGTCATGTTATGTATCTTGGTATCACTGCCTTTATCGTTATGTTCTTGTCATCCATCCGTGATGCATAGGTTGATGCTCGAGACGAGGACGGTGTGAGATGTGATAGGCATACATATCTGCATAGCAGTAAAAAATATACAAATCATCACGAAGCACATTTGAACACATCACTTCATCCGTATTCCATACACCTGGTGGACCAGAGGTCGACGACGCATACAGACGCCCATATATCATTGTTCTTCTTGGTCTTATCCATCACCTCCCGCCCATCTAGTTGATCTGCTTATGAGGAAACCACTTGCTCGGCTTAAGGTTCTTCTCCTCGAGCGGGGCATCCAAAACACCCAGGCGCCTTATCTCGCCAGCAGAAGGCGCATCGTCGCGTTTTATGTTGGCTTCGGCCTTGCGGTAGGCGGCTTGCAGGGCAAGAGTGCGTGCGGCCTGTTCAACACATGAGTAAGTTTTGATTTTGGTGATGAGAGAAAGAGTGTGTCAGGCGAGGGGGATCAAAAGAAAACACGGACCTCCTTCTTGTGGTGAAGACACTCGTAGTAGTCTTCAAGAACGGGGGCGCATTTTGCCTTGCCGGAGTCGTCCTCGGCGTTTGTGTTGGTCGTGTAGCACGCGAGGACTTCTTGCCAGAAGGGGAAGCAGCGGGATGGGCCTGTGGGGGGTTTGTTAGTCTGAATGTTGGAGGTGCTTGGAGAGAGAGAGAGTATAGGTGGGGGACTGGGGAGGTATCAGGGAGCTATAATGGGTTGGCGGTGGAAGGTTTCAAGGTAGGTCGGCGAGCGACTGAGCAAGTATCGGGGGTCTGGCAGCCTGCCTTGCGTGTTGCGGATAAGGGTGTCTTGGCGGTATATGCGTGTATGGCAGTCCTGTGGCTTGCATTGGTGCCGTGCGTCCATCTCCAGCATCTCCAGATCTCAATCCGTTGTAGTCGCGGGGTGATGCTCCAGGCCCTGGGTCTGCGCGGTGACCACAATCCCTTGCTGTCCATAACAACCTTCTATAGTTGCTCCAACCGTTGGCATACGTCGGTCCAGTATCCGTGTCGTGTGGTCGGTGTCATTGCTCGTCGCATTCGTTCCAGTTCCGCTCTTCGTGATGCCATTGCGCTCCTTGAAATCTTCCCCCGCCTCCGAAATGCCCAAGATATATCCAAGTGAAAGGCATTAATACGTACCACCAGCAAGTCCGTATCCAGAAGCCATTGTCGCGGTGTTTAAGTGGGGGTTGTAGGTCGCGATGCGTAGGTGTAGACGGACTTGGATGAGCTTGTATTACGTCAGCAACGCACGGATCTGTTGAGCCAATCACGGCTGGTTATTGACCTTGACTTTCTAGCATTCCAACATCATCTAATATCATGTTATGGAACTGTAGGCATATACCAAATTTGAAGAAATCAATATAGGGAGTTTTTGGGCGTTTGTATCTCTTTCCATACAAGAATGTGCAATATTTCTCTTATTGTGTGGCGGCAACTTTCCGACAAACTTGAAGCAACATTACTGGGTATCATCGTCTACCAATAGCAAAGTGCCCCATTTTATACCTTGCCCTCCGTATGTGATATATCGCTATTGATATCGGCCTGGAGAGAATCGTATTAACTTTCTACTTGTTTGTTTTGCTATCTAAGCTACTCCTGCGCGACAACATCATCTTTCATACATTTTCGGCAAACCATTTACTGTATAGCATCATTGCGACGGTCGATAATGCTCCCATGTTCCACATTACGCATTAATATTCATTATAGGCCTCCCGAAGGCTTGTATCGAATGTTGTAAGTGAGAGGTTGAGCATTTCACCGATACTTTGTTACATAATGCTGGTGCGGCTGTTTGTTTGTTCAGCTTTGACGTTTTATCTAAAACCTATAAGGCGACCCCCCCTGTCCAGCGACGGTTGTCGATTGGTGTCGCTCGCAAGGGAGGGCCAG